ATTACATTTGATAGGAGCCTGTCCTTTAATGACCACGTGGAGAGTGTTGTGACAAGATGCCAAAAAGGACTTAGTGCACTTAAGACTATGGCTGCAATTGACATAGAGCAGAGAATTCTTTTTACACTATATTAACATCTGATCCTGTCAGTGGTTGATTATGGCCTGGGAATGCTTACCGTCTCAAAGAGTCAGATGAACGCAGCTATGGGGGTCATTCTGGGTTGCACCAGAGACACCCCAGTGGTGTGTATGCGATACATCCTTGGTTTGCCGGCTGTTGCAGGTAGGCATAAGGTGCTGCAGGCGAAGTCATATCTCAGGGTAGCTGCAGACACAGACCACCCTTAGCATCAAGATGTGTGTGCAGTTAAGGGTCAGCGGCTGATAAGGAGGATGTTATGGATGGCTCGGGCATAAAACACAATCAGACAGGTTTGCATCCTTAAGAACAATAGGCGAGGAGAGGAGTCGGTTAAAGTGCCACCTGAACAGTTAGACTTGTGGCCAGCAGGTGCCACAGAGGTAGAAATTCAGCAAATAATTCAAGATAATGCTCGCTCACAAGATTTGATCATTTACACAGTTACACTACTTTCAGTGGCAAGAGGCAAAATGTGTTTGGGGTTTCTCAGCAAAGGTTAATGGTCGACGTTTGGTGCAGAAGAGCCTAACATATGATACTACAACATCCAGCTTAAGAATGGAGGTGGAGGCGGTCACTGCAGCTTTCCGCTGACTAGAGAACACGACAAACACATCGTGTGAAATCATGCTGAGGAAGATCAGGACAGGCATGTTTTGTGCAGAGTGGCATGCCTCGCTGCGGAGGACACGAGTGAGGAGTATTGTCTGGATTTTTTCACCAGGGGACACCGGTGTTTTGTGAAATGAACAGGCGGACAGACTGGCTGGCTCCGCACAGCTTAGTGGAATACTGATGCATGATAAGGCAGACGTGGTTAGTGCCTTGTGGGACAGCGTGTACAGTTCGGAGAAGCAGATGGATCACCACAATCTGGTAAAATTGATGCAAAAGGGGGGGGGGGGGGATGACGAGGGGTTCTGGCAGAGGCTCGAGGTTCAGAAAAAAAGGCAAGACGGACGTTCAATGCTACTGGCACTGTTAGTATCGAAACTCTTCGCTGGCTGCTGAAGATGGAGACGGAGCGCTTATGTGAATGCCCCGAGTGCTGTGCTGTCGGTTCTTGAATCAAATCAAATCAAAATCATATCACAGGGATCATCAATTTCACCTGTACTGTTCAATGGTTTTACGAAGCAAGATTGCGAGCCAGGAAACCCAAGGAGTTGGCAGAATACTGACATTTGCAGATGATGTTCTCATATATAGGAAAGGGAGAGATGATAATAAAATAGCTTAAGAGTTACATGCGACAGTAGATAAGGTGGTCGACTGTTGTACAAAGATGAATGCTCTAATCAACCCAGAAAATGCCACGGTCCTGTGGTCTTCTTTGGACAACAGTAATATTAGAGCTGATGTTCCAAAAGAGACAGGAGACTGCGAGACCTGGGAATCACCTTTGACAGAAGCTTGTCTTTTAAGGATCAAACAAAGAAGGTTGTGATACAGGCTTAAAAAGGACTTAATGCACTAAACATTATAGCAGCAATGAACATGGAGCAGAGGATGCTGTTCACACCTTACCAGCACTTAGTCATCTCAGTGACTGTTCATGGACTGAGCTTGCTCGCTGCCTCAAAGAGTCAGCAAGATAAACTCGAGCGCATACAGAACAGAATGAATCTATGCGGGTGATTCTGGGATGTAAAAGAGACACCCCGATTATGTGCATGCGATACAGCCTTGCATTGCCGACTAAAACAGATAGGCTAAAGGTGCTGCAGGCTAGGTCATACTTCAGAGTAGCTGCAGACAAAGAGAACCCTCTGTTTAAAGCTTTCCTGCAGTTAAGGGTCGAAGGCTGAAAAAGTGGAAAATAGTGGATGGCTCAAGTAGAAGACACAACAAAACAAGAAAGCATCCTGAAGAACATTGTGCGAGGAGAGGAGTGAGTTGGAGTACCAGAGAACAAGTCTGACCTGTATTGGTTCATAATCACATTGGGCCGTAAGTGCAGAGAATGGCCAGCGGCTGCTACGGAAGTAGAGGTCCAACAGTTGATTCACGACAATTCTCAATCAGATGATGTGATTATCTTATACAGGTGGTTCTGTGTTGATAGGAAATAGAAATGCTCGTGGGTTCGTATCGAAAGCTAATGGAAAAATCTTTAGTGCAGGACAGCCTAGCATATGATACCACAACATCTAGAATGAGAATTGAGATTCAAGGCAGATGTGGTCAATGAACTTTATGAACATGTAGAGAAAAGAAATAAGATTATTATGGCCTAGAGAGAATGATGCACCTGGGTGTAACTAGAGGCTCTAATCGGCTCACTTCACTCAGAGGAAAGACAAGACGGACAGACAACCAGATTACAACCGGTACCAATAGTACTAGAACTCTGCGCTGGTTGCTGAAGATTAGGATGGAGTGCGTATAGAATGTCCCAAGTGCTGTAATGTAAAATGGTTGCTGAAGATTAGGATGGAGTGCGTATAGGATATCCCAAGTGCTGTGATGTCAATTCTTGACTCAATTCAACGGTTTTAATCAGTACAGTCGACGTGCATTCAGCCAGTCGTCCATCTCGACAAACGTGGCCAGTCTCGTTGCAACTGCTGGCTGCTTGGAGAAACCAATTCTTCAGGCATGTCCGCTCACCGCTCACACACTTGCACCCATTAACACCAACACCAAATCACAGAATTGGCCTCACTTTCTGTCTCTTTGAGTTAGCAGACTTCATCCGCTAAGTGTCGCAGCTTAACAAATAATCGGTTTCCCAGCTGGCCATCTCCTTCGCCCTGTATGCTATGATATTATGGAGTCTCAAGATAACAGTGACTCATTCAATGCATCTTCTTCTTTGTAGTCCCTAACTTTTTTGTTTCTACTTTCATGTTGCACGCTCTCGTTGCTGGCATCATTGGAGTTTAATAAATGGCCAACCATTTCAGACTTTGTTATTTCGATGAATATAATCATATACGTTGTTCCAAATAGTTCTTGAAATTTCTTCATTTCTCAAATGATATGTTTAAGTTTTAATCACAGCCCGCTCGAAGATCTTTTTTCGCAGGACGTTAATTGTTTTTTTGTTTTCTTTAGTCAATGTCCACTTTCGTTTTCTTTAGTCAATGTCCAAAAATGACACTGATTGCACAAGGCTGATATGTAGACTGCATTTATAATTTGTAATTTAATCTCTATTGGAAAAGCTTGGTGTTTCAAAACGGAGGTCAGTTGATACGTGACATTGTTGGCTTGTTAGTCTTGTTTCAATCAATCAGGCTATTCTGCTGTCATAACTAAAGATGCCCTCAAGTAGTTAGTGCTGAACTTGTTTTGAACTTTGGTCTTCTATCTCTATCTCGATGGCCTGGTGCTCTCTTGCTATACATATGGCTTCTGATTTTTCATTGTTTATTTTCATTTAATGACAGAGGCAGCTTTGGTATATTTGGTAATAAGGTCCTCTAGCTGATTAACTTGATTGTGGAATAATCATTGGTCATAGGCGAATAGGAGTTCGTTGTGTGTGTGTGTGTGTGTGTGTGTGTGTGTGTGTGTGTGTGTGTGTGGTGGTGTGTGTGTGTGTGTGTGTGTGTAAGTCCCGTACGGTAGGATTTCTCAGTATAATGCACGTCTTTTAAAAGCCGTTCCAAATAGCTTCTCTCTGCCAGATCATAAGTTTAAATTGTATTCTAGTTTTGCTGCAAATGTCACCCCTTTCCCTTACGGTACCGCCTGATGCGGCTGCGTTTCTGTATTCTAGCATGGCACAGTTCTGGTTTGTTTGTCGGCACCCCTACCAAACTACTTTTCTTATCTGGCTGAGTAGCATGAATTCCGTGGCTGTCTACCATGCTTATATTATACATCTCTTGTGACTTGAAAGACAAGACACCAATTGTAGTATACTTTTTTTTTCTCGGCGTCTGTGGTTTAGACTTTGAAAACGCGCTTCGTGATGCCGAGGTGCATGGTTCAATCTCAGCTGACGATTTGTCTTGCGTTGGTTTCTACAGTGGTACAGAGAGTTGACTGTTTAGTTTTTAATGGCAAACTACTGACAGTTAAAAATAAAATGCCTTTAAAAACCACAACAACCACAATATGCTTTGGTTGGTTCCATAACGACATGTAAAGGATACGCAACTAACATTTAAAAAAAAAATTATTTTTGTTGCTAGAGGCTTTCCAAATATTTCTTTATTTCCTTAACTTTCTTGATTTCGTCACCTTTAGTGTACCTTTTTTTCTCAATATTCATCATCATCATCATGTAGCAGGTCCTTTGCAGAACGTCACTCTCATCACAGTCTGCCTGAAAGAAACTTGGTCTCTCGCCAGGTCTCCCGCCTCATGTACTTTCATACTTAAGGAGTCACTTATTTCCTGTGCCCATCTTCATGTCGGTCGGCCCCTGCCCCTCCTTCCTGGTGCCATGCCGTCTGCTATAATTTTTTCCAATCCGTCGTGGCGCTTGATATGACCAAAATATTTCAGCTTTTGAGACAGGATGCTGTTCATTAGCCAATTTTCCTTGATGTTCAGATCTTTCAAGATGTCAGTATTTCTCCTCTTCTTTGTCCAAGTTGTTCTGAAAATTTTTCTATAGCATTTCAGCTCAAAAGCCCCTATTCTCTTTTCTTAAACACTGAGAGATAGTCCACGACTCACATCCGTATGTAGCCATAGGGAAGATGCATGCTCTCAAAATATTATAATTTTGATCTCCCTGCTGGTATATAAGTTTTAAAAAAAATAAGTACACATTTTGCAATATTAGTTACACACATTTTTCACATGGTAAATTATTATTATCTTTTAATTAAAGTATCACTTACCTGTTTGTCAATGCTCATCGCTAGTTTAAGGTTAATTTGAAACTTAATAATGCTAGTTACCAATCTCCCATTATTCTCTGTTAGTTTTCGGAACCCGGAAACGGCTGTTGATTCTTGCCTTAGTCACTACAGCATACATCTGGTCTCTTACGTCACACGACTGGTGGCAATGCCATGTCAGATATTTATTTCATCTGCCAAGAGACGAAAAAAGCAGCGATGGTGTTCTCTCCACACATTTCCGAGTCTGTCGGTCACAACCACAGCAATCACAGCTGACACTTGCCAAGGATCCCAATAACACTGATTCCAGTATCCATAGAAAAGAAACCAGCTTGATATCTAAAGATGCAAGCCTGTCTCTTGTTTATCGAAACAAGTGGGTCGGTTTCCCTGAAATTATGGGATATAACTGCTCAGAAGCCTTATTTTCAAAAACAAAGAATAATCATTTTCCAAGGACTGTAGGAAGGAAAAGTAATAAGCGATTTGTCAATGATAGTCGGGACTGTGCAGATTTCAGGCGGGACCATGGGTTTACAAGATATCCTAGCGTGTCAGATGAGGAAAGGATCTTTCCAATAGCTTTCATTATATTATTTCACAGTGATCTCGACCAGGTAAGGAATTAATAATAATGAAATTAATATATATTGTTGTAGGAAAGGTGGTGATAATGTAAGATTATTTAGGCATCAGGTAATGATGATCTTCGCAAGCATTGCAAACCCCTGAGGTTCATTGCTGCTGTTATCACATGCGTCTCCATTTATGCTATACCCACTCAGGGCCTTCTGAGTCGGACACGGGTGTATATTTCTATCTACATACAGAGAACAGATGAAGAGAAATAGCCCTGTCCTCTAGACAAGGGGTTGAAGAGCCAGGCCACCGTCTCCACCTTTATAAAACCAAATTTCACCAGGAACCAGATATCTAAGCCTCGACCTCGGACATAATTAAACGGACAACGACCCTGAAAGATTGATAGGTATTGATGATGCAGTTAACAGGATAAAAGAAAAATGTTAAAGAGATACTAAGATAACATCTGCGGTAAAGAGAGTAAAACTTACTGTTTTGGGGGAGTAGGTTATTGGGGTCTATATTGTGACCACTACTCCACCCTATATATATATATATATATATATATATATATATATATATATATATATATATATATATATATAAAGTAAAAAAGTAAATGTCTCTTTTCCACGCCTTTAGGCGTATAGGCCATATAGGGCATTTAGGGCTAGACCTATATTTTTAATAGACCAATCAGTATAAGAGGGGTGATCTGGTCAGCATCGCACAGTCTGCCTGTACTTCCCGGGACTGCACCTGGTCGACTTTGAAGTCAAGGTCATGTTTGAAAAAAGTCCGGATCTTCAGGGAGCGAACCCATGATCCGCACGCGAGCTTCTAGCGGCTACGCCATATATATAGTGATATGAAAAGATATGCCTGGTGGGGCTGCTCGCGAAAATTAGCGTGTATGGCCAATTTGATGTTTAAAAATATAAAATTAAAGGCACTAACTAGGTAGGCTCGTTTATGCCAAAATCAGGTATTATCATAAGCTTAGTGGAGCACAACTTTCATCGTTTTTTTTTTTAGAGAATTGAGGTTGAATGGTAATTCAGAGCTGCAAAGAACTAATGCTGCAATAGGAAGTCAAGTGTTGACCGTCGGCAGATTAGGAAGCAATAGGCACACTGAGATAAATGATGCAGGACGGTTCATGATAGTCATATTTAGGAATACCGAGAAGAAACGTGACCCAGAACTCCAAAATCTGCCTCTGTGGAAAGGAAGAAAGCTTAAAGCTAACTAAAAACGCACACGATGATGATCAACGGATCAAAATACAGAGGGAGACCTAGAAGACGATAGTGACATCTTAAGACAGCTCAACACCGTAACATACCAAGCATCAGAGCGAGCTCTTGCTCGGCTGTCTGGCATGTCTTGAACTGTGAAGTTTAGCGGCTAAAATCTGAAAAAAGTGAAAGAAGAAGAAGAAGATGGTGAAAATGATGATGAGATCGAGTTTATGTATTTATCAAGGGGTGGGGGTGGGTGGAAGGAGACACATATACTGTGTTTCCGCATCTGAAAAAAGCAAAGTTAAGTTAGGTTGCAATTGGCCACACCATGACTAACTGTTGAAGTGAAGAAAACATTGCGAAGAATGTTCTCGAAATATATATTCATGTTGGGTTTGCAAAAGACTAAGCTGTCACTGTGCTGGAAATCCTCCACGGTAGCTGATTAGTTTCCAGTCTTACATCCCAACATCATGTCACAGTCTCAGCGATGGCTGTTTCTTGACATCTCCCAGGTTATGAGAATGGGATAGTCTTTCCTCTTGAGCCTAGGGCGGCGCATAGGACAGAGCTAATAGCTAGCTCTTCAGGTCTGTTGGTTCTTTGCCACCTGTTTTAGGCCCTGGATGTTCATTAGGACCATGGTTAAGCATTCCCTGATGATGTTTTACGCAGGGTCTCTCTATCTCTTCCTAGTTTTCTTTTCCCCACCGGTGGTTACGAGAACAGGAGGGAATTAAAACCAAATGTTATGGTGGGAAAAAACAAAAGATATAATCGAATAGTTTATTCAGGTGGGTCAAGGGAAACAACAATTTTTGAAAGAAAAAAGAAATTATGAAATCGTTAGCTTTTGCTATATAGAAAATGCATTATTGGAATAATATATGTAAAACCATAGCATTGCATAATAATCATGAGTGGATCTGGCACGTGCTGTCTCACGTTTGCGTTGACACTTTGTTGAAGGTTGTCAGGAAAATCGGTCCCCACTCTTTTCAGCATAAATCTATTATAGTAATTTAAGTTATTTGTGGACAGATCGCTTTTGTTGTTCAGTCAGCCTACGAGGTTTGCCATCGTAAACATGTGACTCAAGGTATTCACATAGAAATAAATCACAAGTGGACAGGTCAGGGGACCAAGAAGGTCCTAAGACGTCACATAATGTCCTAAGACATAATCTCAAAATAAAAAGGTTGCGACACAGAGGGCAAAGAACAACCTTTGACGCTCCGACAGTGTGCTCCATGGCCCATCTTTTTGGAACCACACATTTTGACGATCAGAACATTTTCTTTGTGTCTCAGGAATGAAATGAAAAGGTGTTCACTATCGCAATATAACCATCACATGGGGGAAAAGGGGGGGGGGGGGGGGAGGACCGATAACGCTTAACCTTTCCACTGCAAATCAAACTGTTGCCTTGGGGGCTATGCAGCGGTTCTTCCTGTAATTGTTGCAGATTTTCACAAGCCCACTAGCCACAATTTGGTCTTATGACAAGTGAAAGTTAAATGCTATGAGTCAATAAATGGGATGAATCCCTGCCGCGCCCTCCTCCCTTTTCTTCTAATCGAGTACTGCTTAAGAAGGTACAGGTCCCTTTCACACGCCTACAGGTGTAATGAGCATATAGAGAGCTAGACCTATATTTTATAGACCAATCGGCACTCGTTGGATGAAGTGGTCAACATCCCGCCGGCCATCTTTACTTCCCAGGGCTATACTTGGTACCTACTCTTGGCTGGGTTGACCTGGCAGCCACGGTCATTTTTAGAAATGTCTGGCTCCATCAGGATCTGAACCCACGACCTTGGGATCCGCAGGCAAGCGTCTAGCCGCTAAACCACAGGTTTTTATCCTGTACTAGCCATTTCAAAACCACCTGGTTCCCGTGCCTGACCATATACTGGTTAGTTGCGTATCCTTTACAGGACGTTGCAGAACCAACCCCAACAGCGTGTGTGGTTTTTCTGGGCAAATTTACGTTCAGTAGTTTGCCATTGCCTTTGGACGGTCGGCTTTCTTGATACCACTGTCGAAACCAACGCAAAGCGCATGACCCGCAGCTGGAATCGAACCCAGCATCCCGGCATTACGAAGCGTCCGCATCGACTTAACCACAGAGCCGACCTACCATACACGTATTATCGTAAAAGATATTCAGTGTGGTTACAACAAAACTATCTTGATGTTCCAGGCTATATTTCTACTCAGAGCCATTTACCGCCCACATAACGTCTACTGCCTCAGCGTGGATGTCTACTCTGGTGATGAGATCATTCAAGCCGTGACATCAGTAGCTCGATGTCTACCAAACGTGTTTCTAGCTAGCAAGTTGGAAAGAATTGTGTATGCCGGCTTTTCTAGACTGATGGCAGACATCGACTGCATGATGGATCTACTGAAACGTCCGGAACCATGGAAGTACGTTATTAACATGCCTGGGCAACAGTTTCCACTCAGGTGCGTCATACCCCACAGAAGTATAATAGATGTGTCACTTAGTTGTTCTAAATGAATAAGTAGAATACTGGCTAGTTTATTTAGTTCTGTTGTTAGCATACTGTCGTTCTGGTACTGGATCTCAGCCATCGGCAGATCTATCCTTCACACTGTGGCTAGTGAATCGTCTAACTTCATAAAACCAGTACCATAAATATATCTACTATTATGCAAGTGATCAGCATAATATACCCCACTGGATCTCTAAAAATAGGTGCTAGACACCACAACTACTACAACAACAGAAGCAACCACAAGAAAAACACACACACTACTATTACTACTTATACTGCTGCTGCTACTACTAATTTTAGTAACAACAACAGCAGCAACAACAACAACAACTGCAGTAGCAACAACAACAACAACAACAACAACAACTATTATTACTACTACAACTACAACTACTACTACCACTAACAACAACATCATCAACAACAATTACTGCTGCTGCTGCTACTACTACTACCAGGGCCTTGTGGTAGATTTTCACAGAATGATGCAAGTCTTCGAAATGTTGCCACTTAAATGTTCAAACTGCATTTTGATTTTGCTAGTTATGCCACCCTCTTACGGTGCTGCCTGATGCGATCGACTCTCTGTATCATAGCAAGCACGGCCCTGACAACAACAACAACATTAAGAGCAGCAACAACAACATCAGCAGCAGGAACAACAACATCAACTACTACTACTGCTACTACTACTACTACTACTGCTACTACTGCTACTACTGCTGCTACTGCTGCTACTGCTGCTGCTGCTGCTGCTACTGCTGCTGCTGCTGCTGCTGCTGCTGCTGCTGCTACTACTACTACTACTACTACTACTGCTGCTGCTGCTGCTGCTACTACTACTACTGCTGCTGCTGCTGCTACTACTACTACTACTACTGCTACTGCTGCTGCTACTACTACTGCTGCTGCTACTACTACTGCTACTGCTGCTGCTGCTGCTGCTGCTCCTGCTCCTGCTGCTGCTGCTCCTCCTGCTGCTGCTGCTGCTCCTCCTGCTGCTGCTGCTGCTCCTCCTGCTCCTGCTGCTGCTGCTGCTGCTGCTGCTGCTGCTGCTACGATATAAGAACAGTATGTTCTGTTGTAACAACAATTTTGGAATCCTGTTTCTCAACTACAATATAGGTTCTTGATCTAGACACCATTTAAGGTTGTATACTCTTGTGACATATTTGCTAAAGGATACTCCAGTTCATTAGGTAGAAAATCACCCACTTAAGTGTAAACATAAAGGATCAATTAGTATAGACGAGGCAGACATCTAGTTCACATTTAAAACGACGTTGACACTAGAAACCACATTTCTTTACATTCCCCCTTCACCTCTTGCTTTACTGGTTGAATAGTATCTTCTTTCCGTTTCTTGAGCAATGATGTCTACAAACATCAAATAATCTGGTATTTCTAAATTTCTGCACTATTTCACAAGTCATCACAACAATATAAGTTTTCATCACCTGTGTAATATCCCGGTGATCCTGGATTACGTCGAGATTGTATTCCTTTTCGTATTTCGTGTGTATCAATGGATAACTTAGAATACTGTCTGCATATACATTCGTCTTCTCTCACCTTAAATGAAGCGCTCTATTATGTGCTGCTATTCATTACGTATTCATTGTTATCAACACAGCATGCCGTAAGTATTTTTTTTTTTTAAAGCTATCTTCTCTCATCTGTTGTTAATCTGATATCCCAAGTTGTACTTCTAGCAGCCGACATACCTCTTCTCTATTTTGGCTCACCGATTTAGTCTGTAATTGCAATAAATAAATCTAAGGTCCCCACCCTGCCGTATCTTCTCGTTTTCCACATACTATAGTTTATCTTGAATATGTCATCTGTCATCAGATAAATCCTCTGAAAAATAGACTTGAATCTGCTATGTTTTATACACCACAACTACCACAACTACCACATCTACCACAACTACCACAACTACCACATCTACCACAACTACCACATCTACCACAACTACAACAACTACCACATTTACCACAACTACCACAACTACCACATCTACCACAGCTACCACATCTACCACAACTACCACATCTACCACAACTACCACAACTACCACATCTCGGAGGGGTGGGCGAACGGTTAAGAACGCTGTGCTCTCATGCAAGAGACAAAGCTTCATATCCTCGGTAAGATTGTGGGTTTGTCCTGTCAGGGACAAAACCTAAATCCTAACCCGCACATTTTATTGCGAGAGCACTAGCCATGCTGCCCTGAATCCGCTGCTTAAATACCCCGCCCCCCCCAGCACCCCCCCCCCCAAAAACCCTAAAAGGGCCCCAGTCACATGTAAATTGCGCTCTTCCGGCGACTTAAATGGGCGTCGCGGAGCTGAGCTAAACTAGATGGCTGGGACTTCTCTGCGTAGCGGCGTGGGAGATACCTTTGGCAGTGGCAGCAAAAGTTCGGCACTTACATGTGGCTGAGGCCCTGTTAGGGTGTGGTTTTGGCCTCCATAATATGTGTGTCTGTCTAGCCGGCTAGGTCGTGTCCTCTCATTGTGCAGGTTTGGATCTGTCATCTCCTTCTTTGTCTTTGATCCTTGAGACCCACTGAACTGGTGCGAGTCGTGCTCACTACATGAAGACTGGTGAACCGGCAATGAACTAGGGCGAGCAGTGCTCACTAAAGAAGGCTGGTGAACAAACATCGAACTCGAGCGAGCAGTACTTACTACAAGAAGGCTGGTAAACCTACATCTAACTGGCGCGAGCAGTGCTCACAACAAGGAGAATAGTGAACCAGCAATGAACTAGGACGAACAATGTTCAATACACAACGACTGATAAACGAACATCGAACTGGGGCGAGCAGTGCTCACTACAGGAAGGTTGGTAAACGAACATCGAATTTGGGCGAGTAGTGCTCAGTATAAGAAGACATGTAAACGAACATCAAACTAGGGCGAGTAGTGCTCACTATTAGAAAACCGGTGAACGAACATCAAATTCGGGCGAACAGTGCTCACTACAGGAAGACTGGTAAACGAACATCGAACTTGGGCGAACAGTGCTCACTATTAGAAGACTGGTGAACGAACATCGAACTTGGGCGAACAGTGCTCACTATTAGAAGACTGGTGAACGAACATCGAACTTGGGCGAACAGTGCTCACTATTAGAAGACTGGTAAACCAGCAATGAACTAGGGCGAGCAGTGCTCAATACACGAGGACTAGTAAACGAACATCGAACTAGAGCGAGCAGTACTCACTACAATAAGACTGGCGAACGAACATCACACTGGGGCAAGCAGTGCTCACTACAAGAAGGTTGGGTAACGAACATCGAAATGGAGCGAGCAGTGCTTACTACAAGAAGACTGGCGGATCGGCAATGAACTGGGGCGAGCAATGCTTACCACGAGAAGCCTGGTGAACCAATATCGAACAGTTACGAGTAATGCTCACTACAATAAAACTGATGAACCAGCGATGAACTGGTGCGAGCAGTGCTAACTACAAGATGGCAACCTAACAGAAATAAACACCAGCTTGTACAATGCATTGGAAAAAAGCGCATAAACGATACTTACATCTTCCCCCTCCCCACCCTACCCCAACACCTAGCTGAGGTAAATGGTCGTAGTTACGAAGAAGAAGAAGAAAAAGAAGAAGAAGAAGAAGAAGAAGAAGAAGAAGAAGAAGAAGAAGAAGAAGAAGAAGAAGAAGAAGAAGAAGAAGAAGAAGAAAAAGAAGAGGAAGAAGAAGAAGAAAAAGAAGAGGAAGAAAAAGAAGAAGAAGAAGAAGAAGAAGAAGAAGAAGAAGAAGAAGAAGAAGAAGAAGAAGAAAATCCTTGCTACGGAAAGTATCTTTTTTAATATACACATTGCCCTTATAAAGATTAAACAGCCTTCAAAGTCTATGGTTAAGCACCAGCAAGGAGGTAACAATTAAAATTTTGAGAGAATGCATCTTCCCTGTGACTACATACGGATGTGAGTCGTGGACTATCTCTCAGTCCTTAAGAAAGAGAATAGGTTCTTTTGAGCTGAAATGTTATAGAAAGATTCTCAAAATATCTTGGACAAAGAAGATGAGAAATATTGACACCTTAAAAGATCTGAATATCAAGGTAGATTGGCTAATAAACAGCATCCTGTCTCGGAAGCTGAAATATTTTGGTCATATCGCAACGAGGGATTTGAAAAAAAAAAAATTAAAGCAGAAGGCATGTTACCATGAAGGAGGGTCAGTGGCCGACCGACACGAAGATGGGCACAGGATATAAGTGATTCCTTGAGTGTGAAAGTGCATGAGGCGGGAGAATTGGCGAGAGACCGAATTTCTTTCAGGCAGACTGTGATGAGAGCGATGTTCTGTAAAGGACCTGCTACATGATGATGATGATGTTGTCGTTGTAGAAGTTTCAGCTCAGGCTATCTTTCAGCGCATTCTCGAAGTATGGGAATATTATTACACAACTAAATTTTAAACCCTTTGTTGTTTTTAAGTATTCAGAAACCATTAGTCGTAAACCCTTTGGCTCTGTACTATGGATATAGCAAACCCTTCGGCCTTGATTCCATTATAGGTACTGTTAATCTGGGAGAAATGTGGGTTTTCTGCCTACCCCCTGGAGTGAACCCGGACCACAAGGAGTTCGTCACCCCGCCGCCGCGAAAGTCAGGTTTAACCAACTACGCTAGAGAGCCGGGGCATTAAAACCCTATAAAAGGATAATGCTAGACCGATAAATTATGTTCATTTTTAAGCAGTTAGGAATAGCGCCTCTGACGAAAACATTTAGGAATATTGCTATTAACCAACTGCAGGCAGGAGGAAGTCAAAGTCTGGTTAACAGGCATCTAAAAATGCATCAGAGTACCATCAGTCGACTTTGGCACCGGTTCCAAGCCACTGGTTCAATTAAAGACCGACATCGTAGTGGACGACCCAAAGTGACAACGGCAGCAGAGAATCGCTTTATTCGTCTTCGTCAGCACAGAGACAGGTTTACAACAGCTTCCTCAACTGCACAGGCATTGCCTCCAGGACGTCAAATGTCTGATAAAACTGTTCGGAACAGACAACATGACGTTGGAAACTGGGCACGACGACCACACCGAAGACCTATCCTTACGAGTCGCCACCGCCAAAATCGACTTCTTTGAGCCAACAAACATCCTGGGCAAGTGACAATCAACGGAGACGTGTCTGTTTCAGTGACAAATCTTTCAATTTGTTGCAGCGTCATGATAGACGGCGTAGGGTCTACTGAAGGCGAAGTGAAGGTTTAGGCCAAAATTGTTGATGAAGCTTTGCTGCACGGTGGTGGAGGTGCAATGGTGTGGGGAAGGATCAGTTACAACGGAAGGAGTCAATTGGTGCACACTGAAGGAAGCTTAAAAACGCAACAATACTTCAGTGAAATTCTTCGACTACATGTCCTTTCATTTTGGGATGCCAACATGTATCTTTCTTTAACAGGACAACGCCAGACCCCACTCTGCACTGTTGACCACGCAGTTACTGTCTACCAATAGCATTCAAACCCTTCCCTAACCACCCCTGTGGCAAACATGAGTCCAAATGGGCACATGTGGGATGTGCTGCAAAGATGTTTTTGTCGCCGAGACATTGTTCCAGCCAATGGTCGTGATCTGTTCCAGGAACTCCAAACAAAAATGGGTAGCCACCCCACAGGCTCACATCAGACATCTGATGGCATCCATGCCCAGGAGATGTAAGTCACCGATCCACACAAGAAGAGGTCGCACACCATACTATCTGGAAAGGCCGTAGCCTAAAACTATCGTGACCCAGAAGGAAAAAAAATGTCAATTGATTAGTGGAACCCTAAGGTATTCTTGTGTAAAATGTGAGTACTTTTACTTATTGCATTACAAAGTTGCAGAATGTCAAAATTGTGAGTATGTATGTTTCTTTCAGTAGCTATGCTTTTTTTGTGTGTGAACAGCATATGAGAATGAGTAGCCGGAGAATATTATTACGATGTGAAGGTTGGAGGAGAAAAGATGCGGAGGGAGACCGACATAAGAGATGCTCGATGGTTTGATATCATGGCATGGAAGACACATTTGTCAATTTTGATAAAAAGTACACGAGGCAGAAGGTTGGGGATAGACATAAATGAACACAAATCTTCAAGCCGACAGTTGCTACGCCCTCTAAGCTCCCAATCCTTCCCTGTAGCTAGAATGAAACAAGAATATGTTGATGTGAATAACTCTACACAAATGCTGCTAAAATTTGTGTCTCAACAGAACAAACCTGGAGCTGGTCAGAATTCTCAAACTGCTCAACGGCAGCAACAACGTTGAAACATCATCAAAAGAAAAAGTGGCAAGTGTGGCCAATCGTCACCGCAACAAGTATACATACCGGATAAATAACACGACAGGTACTTGAGCAGTGTCGATTGTAGTCCTCTTGTGTACTCATATTGATTCACTATCCTGTAGCATCATTATATGCTGCATACGCCTGGCAGTTTATTCTGTTTTGCCGCTCTTTGTGTTTGCGTAAGCCTTTCGATATTATGGATGGAAGAATCAAGTTAGGCAACTTCAGCTTCTATTATCAATGTTCGTTTCAGGGTTTCTCTCTAATTTTCTCAATTCATTTGTCCCCTCTTTAGAGTTTTTTAATGATTCTCTGCTTCCTTTTTCACTCAGAATTAGCTCAATACAACATCCCCTTCTTTGACTTTATTGATATGTGTGTACATACATACAAAATGATTTATCAACTACGAATAGCTGTTATTAAAGAAAACATCGCAACATAAACCTAAAATAAAACCCTTATCCTGTCGCAAAATAAACCTAAAATAAAACCCTTATCCTGTCGCTTGAAGTCGTCCTCTCGTTGGATGCATTTGTTATGTTATTTTGAAGTCCTACCCTGGCTTTTCCTCGGGACCCTGAATATAGCCGGGCCATAAATATGACCTAAACGGCTAAAAGGGGTTTCTAAGACCTCTCCACGGGTGATCCTCATCCGCATGGTGGCACTTTGTATCACCAGGTGTTTATGGCGTGTGTGATTTCCTGATAGGGACTACCTACCTATCTAAAGACCTTAATTTGAACAGCGGAAAAATAAAAGTAATTACAAAAAGAAAAATGCTATCCATAACACATCAACGCAAAAAAGAAAAAGCTTTAGCGAGTAGATACATTAGTTTCAGTACAACGATAACAGCCTTTTAAATATCCAAATGCACATTAGATTAAGTAGAAGCAAAGCGTCATACAGGAAAGCACACAAAAATGCCTTGAAATAAATTAACACTAGAAGTGAACTGAAAACTCTCATAAAATATTTCAGTTTCTTAAGTTTTGTCGTGACCAAAATCATCATCATCGTCAAGTACCTTGTCGACTGGCGTGGTCGATCAAGTTTCATCACATAATCTGCGATCTTCAACAGCATTTAAATGATTCCAGCTGTTTGTAAACTGGTACATGTTGAGGAAACTGGACTTTTACGTAAAGAGAGAGAGAGAGAGAGAGAGAGAGAGAGAGAGAGAGAGAGAGAGAGAGAGAGAGAGAGAGAGAGAGAGAGAGAAGAAAACAGAATATTTTTGGAAGCCTTATGTGATTCCATTGTGAGAGGGGGGGGGGGGGGGGGAGGGCGATAGTCAGCATACAAAACTAATACATGTTATCAAAGATAGCAGTTTGTTTAGAGGCTTGATCACTACGTCGGATGGTATTGATGATGATGATTTATTCGGAAATGGAATCGCTTGTTCCTATGTCATCTATGAAACAGATCTGACAAAATCTGCGGCTCTGCTAAAGGCAATGCGACAATTACAGGAAATGCCGCAGTATAATGAAATATTCAGCCTACAAACAAACCTACAAATGTCGACAAACAGGTTTTTGTACCGTCTTAAATAACTTTAGTCCCGAGACATGTATTTTGATGGTGTCATATGTCTTCCAACAAAAGCTTGCTAATGATGTAGTCATATAATGCATGCTGATGTCAATTGTTGGAGATATTCTTTAGAAAAATCAAGCCTCAAGTACTAACAAAAAGTACACAAACGGCACTTGTAAATCCACTTAAATGCATTCAATTAAAGAGGAAGTATAGTTACACATTTGGTTATGTATCCTACATCTTACAACCCAGACAACAGAGACGTTTTGAACCCCCCCCCCTCCCCTTCTTGCTCGGCAGGAACATATGAGCGTGTGGGTGTGCAATTATGTGTGAGTGTGTATGTATGTATGTATGTAGGTAGGTAGGTAGGTATGTATGTATGTATGTATGTATGTATGTATGTATGTATGTATGTATGTATGTATGTATGTATGTATGTATGTATGTATGTATGTATGGTATGTATGTATGTATGTATGTTTATGTATGTATGTATGTATGTATGTATGTATGTATGTATGTATGTATGTATGTATGTATGTATGTATGTATGTATGTATGTATGTAGGTATGTATGTATGTATGTATGTATGTATGTATGTATGTATGTATGTATGTATGTATGTATGTATGTATGTATGTATGTATGTATGTATGTATGTATGTATGTATGTATGTATGTATGTATGTATGTATGTATGTATGTAGTATGTATGCATGCATGCATGCATGCATGCATGCATGCATGCATGCATGCATGCATGCATGCAATGCATGCATGCATGCATGCATGCATGCATGCATGCATGCATGCATGTATGTATGTATGTATGTATGTATGTATGTATGTATGTATGTATGTATGTATGCATGCATGCATGCATGCATGCCATGCATGCATGCATGCATGCATGCATGCATGCATGCATGCATGCATGCATGCATGCATGCATGCATGCATGCATGCATGCATGCATGTATGTATGTATGTATGTATGTATGTATGTATGTATGTATGTATGTATGTATGTATGTATGTATGTATGTATGTATGTATGTATGTATGTATGTATGTATGTATGTATGTATGTATGTATGTATGAATGTATGTATGTATGTATGTTGGCATGTATGTTGGAATGTATGTTGGCATGTATGTTGGCATGTATGTTGGCATGTATGTTGGCATGTATGTTGGCATGTATGTATGTATGATGCATGTATCTATCTGTCTGTCTGTATGTATGCATGTGTGTGTGTGAGTTTTATTGGGTGAGGACTGAGTTAATGCGTATATGTGTGTCTGTGTGTGTGTGTGTGTGTGTGTGTGTGTGTGTGTGTGTGTGTGTGCATATGTAGGCACATGCATTAACATCCATTAATTTTTTTTTCCGTGATAGGGGCTGCATGGTCTCGAGGCATAGTGTTCTCCTCGAGTGCTAAAGGTTCCGGGTTTAATTTCCTGTAAGGGTTGGGTTTTTTTTTCACGTGGATTTGGACATCTAGTAATTCCCCCTGGTCTCTGGGTAGTGGGCTTGGATGCCCGTGTGCATTGTTGCGCACGTAGAAAATCCCTTGGCAGTTGGAAATCGAAAAGAGTAGCCTAACGGTGCTGCCCGGGCAACTAAGCTTCATTAATAAAATACGTTTTCAGTGTGAAGGATGAGTGTTTGAAAGGGCTGAATGTAAAACGGGCCTGCATGCCCAATTTGTGACTCTGAAAATACGTTCGATCGTTTGTTCTTCACTGATTTTGTCTCTCTCTACTATTGTTCTTAAAGAAGATTCAAGGTTCTTTGGGCCGATTGTCGAATACACATTCAATGAAATCATTACATCCAGTTCAAGTTCTATTTTATGAAGTCTCCCGGTAAATTTTGTTTGTTTGTTAATATTCAAACATAAACTGATAAGACCACTAACATATTACATAAAATAATTCATAGGTAAATTGGAACCTGTAAAGACTAGTGAGAAAAACCAACCTCCGCCTCATGGAATCAAGTTAATGAAAGGCAGCACATACGCCGCCTTGTCCAGGGAGTTTGTTCAGTTTGCTGTTCATCACCCAATAGCTCACGATTTTCTGGAGTGGAACAAGAATGTGTTAAGCCCTGATGAATACTTCTGGTCGACGCTTCACGACACAAGAGTAGTCAAGGTTCCCGGAGGAGTCTCTGGTAATGAGGTTTTTATTAATGTTTTGTTGTCTTTGATGTATTCGGTTATCTGACACTGGAAAAAGTACCAAAAAAAAAAAAAAACCCAGTAAAGATCACTTTTCACTTCTTAGGCACACCGGGCTTATAGGAAGAGCACCCATATTGCTACAGACCAATCAGCATTAGGTGTGTAATGTGGTCAGCATTACGCCTGCCGTCTGTACTTCCCCAGGACATACATCCTGGTACCAACTTTAAGCTGGGTCGACCTACATGTTTTATAGTCAAATGCAACTTACTCCTCGCACTCTTCAGTATTTACAGTTTTGCGCATACGGTTTCACCATCATCTTATCAACGTCGCCACAGTCATCATAATCGTCACTATCATCAAGTATTATAACATAATGCTGGTGGAGGTCTCAGATGCTCAGTAGCCAACTCGCTTACCTCCTTCTACGGTATGCATGTGCTCGGTCCCGATCGAGGGGTGGATTTTGGACACACTTACCTGGATTTTAAATAACACTGGCTTCCAGGTCGACCGAGCTTTAAATAGGAAACTGGTAAAGTCATGGGAAGTAAAAACCGCCGGCGTGATGTTGACCACATCACCCGTAGGCTGATTAGTCTATAAAGGTCTAGCCCTATATGCCCAGTGTGCGTGAAGACGTGGAATTGGGTCCTCTTCGTAAAGAAATCTAGGAAGTATAACTGCGGTCTATGAAATATTTATCACATTCCTAAATTTTGTTGACTGTTCTCAAAAGTTATATAGCTAGCAACGTATATCAAACATTTATCAAGGCAAACAAAATGGATCTTTATATCTTGACAAAATAAACACTATAAAGTATACTTTTATGCCGTTGGTGCATAGGGCAGACTCTTATTTTTGAAAAATAGTCGGCCTACGGTTGGTGTGTGTAATACGCCGACCGTCTTTACGTCCCAGAACACTAGCTGATCCGATTTTAGGCTCGGTTGACTTACAAACCAAAGCCAATTGAGGGAAAAAACATTCCCTCATACGATGCAGATTCGAACTTTGGACCTTCAGCCTAAAGGCAAAGGTCTAATCATTGCGTTACTGTTTATCCTTTTCCTTGTTTAACTGTATGGTAATTATTATTTGTGCATTGATAATCAGTAAATTCTTTAAAGCATAATTAACATGAAGATTGATTTAAATGTCCAGGCATTTATCCCAGCATGAGCGTTCACTCTCACACGGTGAACAGTTTAGACTAAAACAGGACAACTGTATAATAGAAAAGCAGCCGTTTCTAGCATTATCCTAGGCGATAAATACTTCGATTAACAGTCACCCATTGTAACCGTCAGTTTCTGCTATCAGTCATCGTCTGAAAAACTCAATGCGTGAGTAACAACAAACACCTCAATAGTGGCCGGCTCACTACACTCAGAGGAAATGCAAGAGATACATATAACCATAATGTAACCGGTACCATCAGTATTGGAACTCTGAAGATGAGGACGGAGCATGAATGGGAATTCGCCGAGTGTTGATGTCAATTATTCCTACAACTCAACTCAACAAACACCTCAAAGATACAGTAAGAGGTGACACGTTATTTCAAAGTAACGTAGGTTTATAGTATTTCGATACATTCCTGTGTATTACTACTCTTAAATTGCAGTCTATATTTATCACTTTTGTAAAATTAAATTCCTAATGTATTTATTACTAACTTTTCAAAGAATTTTTTTCGATCCCAAACCCGCCAGTAGTTAGAAATGTTCTTATTAGGTAAGCAAGAGCTATGCAGCCAGCCTGCAGTAGCCTGCAAAAGTCTGATGCGTCATTTATTTTTTCTTAAAGGGGCGAGGGATTAGGCATTCGATGTTATTGTAAGTAGTATGTTGTGGTGTTGTGGTGTATAGCTAGGATGCGAGAATCTGTGGTCTGATATATGGGTTAGTATCTTATGTCTTATTGTTTCTAGCATAGGTTGTTTGTGCCCCTGTTATCATCAGCATTTGCTGTGTGCTGGGGCTATCATCATGTGCCGTAGATCCTATTCATAAGTCTTGAGCAGCATTAGTAGGTTGACACTGAAAAATAATCAGAAGACGTATAATAAACTATATAATTTTATTGTAAAATCCCACACAAAGAACAAAAGCATGAAGTCATAATTTAGCAACAAATTGCTAGCTGTATAAAAATATCCATATTTTACAGTGACTGTTATTAGGTGAGCGTCATTTACGCTAATTTCACGTGTTTATTAAATTTATTAAACAGGAGAATTTTTTTGAAAAAAAAGTATCCAAAAAAAAAAATGGTTTTTAATCCTTCAATTCAAACAAAAAAAACCCCCAACAAAAAAAAAAACACCCCCCCCCCCCCAAATATTTTTTATATATAAATTTTAATATATTAGGGCTGTACCAATATTTTGCTTCGTATTCGTTTTGGGGCCGATCTGGACCCATAAATAAAAGGTATTCGGGGCCCAAAAGTTGCGGTCGGCCGAAAGAATAGTGGTTACAAACCTTTCTGGGCTGTTGGAAAAAAAAAATGCAAAACCTTTAAAAATGTAAAAAGGGGAGAAAAGATGTTCTAGTGTTTTCGGTTTATTTTTTGAGTGGAGATCCTCTTCGTTTTGTTTGAAGAACGGGAGTTGTCACATTTTTGGGTGTCGTAATTTTTTTTTCGTGTCTGTGGAAAAAGGAGCGGCTGAAAATTTTGATCGACGTCGGTTTCTTCGTTTTCTTTTTTGTTTTTATCTTCTGGCGTTGGGGGGCG